GTGTGTGTGTGTGTGTTTAAAAGGTTAAATAACAGAAAGTGGCGAGTTTGCTTTGTGGTTGTTTTTTTTTTTTTTTTTCTCTACAGTTTCTTGAACTGTAGCAAGCAAACTCACTAAGATGGATAAAGATGGCTTAAATTGGCAGTTCACCTCAGGTACAAAAAGGAGTCTATAAAGCCTTGGGCAGACACACCTAGTTTGGTAGGATAGGTGTGCATAAAGTGTTGCAATGTGATCAGTCATTGTTTCTCCTGAGGAGTTAGGTGACAGGCCATCAGGACAAAAGGACCTCAGCCAACAGGTGCTGTTTGTGAAATCGAGATACAGACAATGGGCAGGTCTTGCGCACTGTGTGTACCTTTTTTTCCAGACCTGTGGTAGCATCCTCTTTGCTATTGCAGGGACCAGCGAAGTATATCTGAAGCTTCTCTGGGATTAACTGACAGCAGATTCAAGAGGATTGGAATCCAATTGCATGGGATCCACATGGCATGGGAATCCAACAAAACATGAGACTCTGCAAAGGCCTGGAGAGCTGAGGCTTAACTAACCCCTGAGCTACAGTCAGGAGTGGAGACTTGAGCAGGAGGGGGTTTGGGAGTAGGAGTAGGAGAGGAGGAGCTATGGGAGGAAGAGGGAGGGGAGGAAGATGTACTTCGACTTAGGAGCTGGCTAGGAATGACTAGATGAAGTCTATCCAGGCAAGGCGTCCCTGGGTGACCTCAGGCATAGAGCCGTTTAGCCTCTTCTCTGTCTAGTGGTTCATCTTTCCTGGTTAGTAAGATTTATGGACAGTTTCATTCCTTGTGGGAAGGAGCTTGAGGAAGCTGCTCCCTGACTAGGGGAAGAATCAAGAGATTGGCAGAGTAGATGTGATGGTGGGCAGTAAGAGAAAGCATAATACTGCTCTTTTAGTTTGAAAGTTCCATTCTTAGGCATTTGGGGTATTCTTTTCTGAGCCCCAACATTAACCAGTAGTTTTGTCTTGCTGGGATCTTTCTCTATATTCCAACAACACTCTGAGTTGTCTCTGACATACTCTGGAAACTATCTTTTGATATTGAGTCTCACCGATACAGGTTATATAAAATTCTTTCTCTCTCTCAATTTCACATATTTATGTATTTGTGTTTGTGATGGGTGTGCATGTGTATAAGCATGTTCACATATGTGGGGCACGAGTGTATGTGTGCATGTATGGGCATGCATGCATGGGCATGTGGAGGCCCAAGGTAGCACTTGGTGTTTGCTCAATCACTGATCACTTTATATACTGAGGGAGGTTCTCCCGCTGAATCTGTAGTTTATGGTTTGGGTAGGCTGGAAAACCAGCTTGCTTAGGAGGATTCCCTGTCTCCGCTGCCATGTGCCAGGATTTCAATGGCCCACGGTTCCAGCCTGGTATTTACATAGGTCTAGGGATGTAAATTCTAGTCCTCAGACTTTCAAGACACACACTTTACCCATTTACCATCTCCCCAGCTCTAAAACCCTTTCTCTGCTCCCCTCTCTCTCCCTTTCTCCGTGTGTGTGTGTGTGTGTGTGTGTGTGTGTGTGTGTTATGGCATCTGGCATATACCAGGCCCATTCAGTCCATGGCTAACAAATACTCCTTGGTTGCCTACTACACACCAGGCACCGGGACATAATATTTACCAAAATGAATTCCCTCTCTTAGGAATCTTCCATTCTATTTGAACTGAGCTGAAGTGGACCATCAAAACCCCGAATAGAATCTAGGACCAGTCCTCTGTTCTTCGACCAAACTCATACTATGTCAATTCCTTCAGCTGATCTTAGACTTCATTTGCATTTAAATTCTTTTTTTAAATCTGCTCGTGGGCAGTCCTTGAGCTGCCTGTCTTCCTGGCTGTATTTATTAATTTATTTATTTTGGATGTTTTGAAACAAGATCTTGCTATGCAACCTAAGGTAGCTTCAAACTTGTTCATGTAGCCCAGGCTGGTGTAAAATTCATGATTTCCCCGTACCTCTGCCTCTGGGTGCTGGCGTTCCAAGTATGTGCCAGTATGCCAGGTTTCTTCCAGCTTTTTACAAAATTCTCCAGCATCCACAGGGAGGTGGGGGAAGACCCCGGGGGAGCAAGTTGCCTCCATGCCCTCTCATCATTCTGGATTTAATGAGGGTCTTGGGGGCAAATCCCATTTTTGGTTCCTGTGAAACTGGAGGTTGTCAGCAGGGCTATTCATCAGGCTCTGTTTCTCTCCCACTCACTGTGAGAGTCTCTTAAAACAAGTGTGCCTATAACCACTGCTCTCTACTCCAGTTTCTAGACAATGTTGGGAGAGACCGAGGTGTCAGACACCATTTTAAAACAGCCCTTTGATAATGTAAAATTACCTAGCCACCCCCAGCCTGCCCCGTGTTGTTTCCTATGAGGAAGGAATAAATGTGTAATTTTAAGGAAGGGTTTGTAGAGTGTGGAGAAACCATCCTCTGCTCTCTCTGAATACCATAGCCCCATGGTCTACAAGAATGTACAAAAATGGATTCCTGTTTATTAGAAGAGCTTGTGCAGGACATCAGAGGAGTCTAGCTGGGGGCTGGTGTCCTGTTCATCTGTCAAGCATGGGCCCTGGGTTTCAAGTCTCAAGAGTGGAGACTTCACTGCTTTACAAACAGGCATGCTAAAGCCAGAGCCTCTCAGACCAAAGTAGAGAATTTCAGTCCATGGAGCTTTTTCCCTAAACAACCAGCTACTCATGGGAGGGGGGGGGGCGGGTTTCTCTAAGTTATTTTAGTGCATTGGTTTGTCATTCTTCTTCATCGTTCATGCATACATGGGGCATAGAGAGGTGAGCAGAGTAAGTCATGAGTCAGGAGCAAAGCCCCAAACCCTCTGGTCCTCCTTTGTGCCTCACCAGTACTAATGACCAAGGTAGACGTGCATGTGGAGGCCAGAGGTCAATCTTGAGCATCATTCCACACTGTGTGTGTGTGTGTGTGTGTGTGTGTGTGTGTGTGTGTGTGTGTGTGTGTGTAGTGTATGTGTGTGTGTGTGTAGTGTATGTGTGTGTGTGTGTGTGTGTGTAGTGTTTGTGTATGTGTGTGTAGTGTCTGTGTGTGTGTAGTGTTTGTGTATGTGTGTGTGGTGTTTGTGTGTTTGTGTGTTTGTGTGTGTGTGTGTGTGTGTGTGTGTGTGAGAGAGAGAGAGAGAGAGAGAGAGAGAGAGAGAGAGAGAGAGAGAGAGAGAGACTCACTATGTGGCCTTGGCTTGGCTTGCCTGGAACTCATTATGTAGATCAGGCTACCCTTGAATTCACAAAGATCCACCTGCCTCTGCATTGTGAATGCTGGGATTAAAGATATGTTCCACCATGCTTGGCTTTAGATTTTTTTTGAGACAGGGTCTTTCAGTGGGTCTTTCTGAGGTTAGGTGGGCAAGATCTGCTTTCCTCCACCTCCCGGCATACACCCTGATGACTGGCTTTTTATAGAGACTATGGACCAAACCCAGGTCCTCATACTTGCATGGCGAGCACTTTCCCAGCTGAGCTGTGTCCTAAGCCTGAGGCCCCCTTCTTTAAGTGCCACTACCTCAGCAGTGCTACACTGAATGCCGAGCTTCCAATATACGAAGCTTTGGGAGATACTCAAACCAAACCCAAACAGCAGCTCAGATAAGCAAGAGTTAAAATATAGGTATTAAATAAAGGGCTTCACCTATCTACCCCACCCCCACCCCCACCCGCAGGTAACCTTTGCATAAACTTTCCTTTAAAGAAAAATATTTGTCCTACAACACAAGGTCTTGATCCAAGTTTCTTTTAGAAGTGAAAGAAAAAAGACTGGTAAAGGGAATTCTCATACACTGCTGGTGGGAAGATAAATTACTCTAGCCATTATGGAAAATAGGATGGAGGCCCCTTACTTTTTATTGATTCTTTGTGGATTTCACATCATGCACCCCAATCCCACTTATCTCTCCATCCCTTCGTATCTACCCTCTGCCCTTGCAACCTCCCCACAAAATAAAGTTAAATTAAAAAAAAAATCAGGGCCTAGCAAGATGCTTTGGTGGTTAAGAGCACTGGCTGCTCTTCCAGAGGGCCTGGTTCAAATTCCAGCAACCACATGGCAGCTCACAACTCTCTGTAATTCCAAGATCTGACACCCTCACACAGACATACATGCAGGAAAAACACTTAAACACACACACAAAAACAAAACAAAATAACAAAAACAAAAAAGGCTCATAAAATAATAAAAACTAATTAATTAATTATTTTTTTAAAAAAAAACAGCCTGGCAGTGGTGGCACACACCTTTAATCCCAGCACTGGGGAGACAGAGTTGGAGTCCAACCTAGTCTACAGAGCAAGTTCCAAGACAGCCAGAGCTACAGAAAGAAACCCTGTCTCGGAAAAAAAAAAAAAAAAAAAAAATCTCATTGTGGAAGCTGTAGTGTTTATACCCAGAGGAATAGAAATAAACATGTTTTGGAGATAACCATTTTCACAGGCTGTTTGCAACACTGTCCACAATAGACAAGAAACATAATCAATCTAAGTGTCCATTGATGGATGAAATGGAATATTGTTCAGCTGTAAAAACTGCAATTCCGTCATTTGCAGCAACATGGATGGATTTGCAAGACACCATGTTAAATGAGAGAGCTCATGCACAGAAAAACAAGTACTACGTGAGTCCTGTATATGTGGATGCTGAAGTTGATGTCACAGCTCCAGGGTCCTGGTAGGTGGAAGGAGGGATGGAGAGAAGAGAGTAGAGCAGGACAAGGGTGCAGTAGGAAGAATAAATCTTAATGTTCTGCAGCATTGTGGGAAAACTCTGGTTGACAAAAATTTGTGTGTGTACATGATGTGCATACTTATATGTGTGTGTTCATGTGTATGAGGGTGCACATGTATGTGAAAGTACACATGCTTTTACACGCACGTGGAACATAGAAGTCGACCTTGAGCATCTTTCCTCAGGTGCCATCTACTTTATTTTGTTGTTTGTTTGTTTTGAGACAGCATCTCTCACTGAACCTGGAACTTAGCAATTAGCCTGACTGGCAGGCTAGTGAACCCTGGGTATCCACCTACCTCTGCCTTCCTAGTGCTGGGATTGCAAGTGGCCACCACCATGCCCAGCTGTTTAGGGGAAATGAACTCTAGTCCTCAGGATTGCCAGGTAAGTATTTTACCACCTGACTCACCCACTAGCCTCTGTTTGACAATGATTAGTTGAATTGTTCAAATATCTAGTAGAGAAGATTTGAATGTCCCAAACAAAAAACATGACATGTATCTGAAGTGATGATGGACATGTCGGTTACCTTGGCCTGATCATGACACATTATACACATGCATTGGAATGTCTGTTACAAAGCCCCTGTGTCATCCCTTCATAAGTATGTTTCACCAGACATTTGAAACTAAATGGTCAACCTCAGCTTAGGATAACATTGCTTATTATATACAATAATTCCTTTTAATGTTTTCTTGGTCTCAGAAGTGCTCAATAAATATTTGTTGATAAAATAGGTTGCAGGTTGATAAAATAGAGGCATCAATAGAACTAGAAATTCAGCGCCATCCCCTGCCACATAGTGAGTTTGAAGCCAATCTGAACTCCAAATAGCTCAGTAAGGGCTATCTCATGAGAAAATAATAAAGTATGCCACCATACCCTTTGGCCCCTTTTGATATAGTTTGCTGGATGCTTTGTTGTGGAGACAGGATCACATTATGCAGCTCTGGCTGGCCTGGAACTCACAGAAGACTACTTGCCTTTGCCTCACAACACTTTGATGCCAAGTTCTGGTATTAAAGGCATGTGCCACCATGCAAGGCATGGAGTACATCATGAGAGAGCCCCACCACCAATGAAAGAGCCTCATTGAATGTTTATACATTTAACCTGCCTGGACACACAGAGAGTGTGATTCCTGGAAAGACTCCAAGTATTCACTCCAAATGTTTTTTTTTTTAATTTCTGATTAATACAACTGAGGACTAAAGCTACCACCTTTTACAAGAAAGATACATTAGTTCAATAAACTAGGCATGGCAATTCATGCCTACCATCCCTTGATCTGGGAAACCAAGGCAAGAGGATTGCTACAAATTTGGGGCCAGCCTGGGAAATATAGTGAGTGCCAAATCAGCTTGGGCTACATATTAGGAAACTGTCTCAAACAAACAAACAAACAAAGCAACCAGATTGAAGCAATAAGAGCAGAAAGCATCCAAGATTATTAAAACCTCTCCCAATGCTAGCAGTTAGCATGGCGAAAGTCGCTACTCTTGCGTCCCGTGTCTGAGAGAGTCTATAAACAGAAGTATATGGCATGGCTCCTGCTCACCGTCCCTTTTGAAAAGGTGGTTGGGTGTCCCTGGAGGCACTGTCTGAACGGCTGGAGGTTTGCCCACATACACAGGCTTAAGAACCTAGATAGTGGGCAAGCCTCATGGGCCCCTGGGCTCTGCCTTCTGAGGATTTCTGCTAGCAGGTGAGTGATACCTCATAGAAAGACCTGGACTTTACTGACTTAGATGGGAACAAACAGGAATTCCTGTCTGAACTTGTACTGCAGAAGGTAATTGGCATTCCTCCCCCCCCTTAATGTGTGTGTGTGTGTGTGTGTGTGTGTGTGTGTGTGTGTGTGTGTGTGTGTGTGTGTATGATGGTATGTATATAATGTGTGTGGGCAAACATTTTGTGTGTAGAGGCCAGAGGTCAATGCAAGGTTCCTTGCTCTATCACTTCCCGCTTGATTTTTTTATTTTATGTTTGTGGGTGTTTTTGTTTTTGTTTTTTTTCCAGCCTGTATGTCTGTGCACCACATGTATGCCTGGTACCATCTGAGGACAAAAGAGGATGTCAGATCCCCCTGGAACTGTAGTTATAGATGGTTATGGACCACCGTGGGAGTGCTGGGCATCGAAATAGAGTCCTCAAGAAGAGCAGCCATTGCTTTTGACCACTGAGCCATCTCTCCAGCCCATTTTCCCCTTTATTTTCGAGGTAGGGTCTCCCTCTGAGCCCAGGGCTCATCAATTCATTAGACCTGCCAGCTGGGGTCTCCAGGAATCTGCCTGTCTCTGTACTGCCTCATACCCAGGGTGTGGGAAACAGAGAACTGGGGCCTGGAGAGATAGCTCAGCAAGATTACAGATGTGCACTACCACAGCAGGGTCATGTTCTGCTGGAGATCAAACCCAGGGCTCAGTGCAAGCCCTCTACCAACTGAACTACGCGCCCCGCCCTCCTTCCTCCGAAATACTCTGGAGAAGCCTGGTCCCTGCACCTTCCGTAACCTCTGTCAGTTGCCTCCAGACCAGCACTCTAGTGAACCCATACTCCCAAAGGTCACTGGTGCACCCTTGACTGCCAGATCACAGGGCAGTTTAATCGTCTGTGTGGTGTTCCCATCTCTCACCTTACAATTCACTGTTCCACTAGCTGTGAATGGCCCAAGCTTTCTGAACCAGCAGTGCCACTAGCTGCTCCCCGGTTTCATTTGTCCCTTCTCTCATGCTTTTCTCTTTGCAGAGATGTATCATCCACTCTGAAACACTGCACTTCTGACTGCAGCCTAGGAGTGAATTGTAAGCCAAAAGGAGGAGGGCAGCCTAGGAGGCAAGCAGCTAGCCTCTTTGGTGGTTTGAATAGAACTCTAGTTTTGAACGGTTCTTTTTCCCACCCAGCCAGGCCTTTAGAGACCTTAGATCAGTAAGGGAACTCCTGTATGACTTGGAATTCTCCCACTTTGCCAACACAGGTATAATGTAAGTGTGGAATAGGTTGTTGTCTCTTCACACTCTTGATTCCCCAGGAAGTGAAATGGAAAATGCATTTGAGAATAAGAGGGCTTCTGCAGCTGCAGACGGAGGGCAGGGAAAAGTCTGACCCATCTCAGGCTCTGGGAGGAACCAGATTGCCAGGGCTCCTCCGCTGAAGCAGGGTGAAAATGCACAAGTTTCCAAGTGCACGAGACTCAGGCGGGCACTCAGCTGAGGTCCCTGGAAAAGCAGTCCATCTGAATTCTCCAGCAGGGTTGGGAGCAGACTCTGGGGGGTGTGGGTGGGGTTGCAGGAAGCACAAGGCCACGTAGTTGTTTGTTCAACACAGTGAAGTTCCAAGTAGGAAAAGATCGGCACTTGAAGGTCACTGGGGAACGCCCGTCTCTCACACACACACACACACACACACACACACAACTGGAACTTTGGGCTTCCGGGACTCATTGTGGCACAGTGCATCTCTCGGCTGGGTTTGTTTGCTTAGTGACACATCTTCCTGATACCTTGTGGTCATTCAGCTGGCTAGGCTGGAAGTGTGTGCCAGCTTACTGAGTCAGCTGCTGGCAGGACTGTTTTAGACACGTAATCCTTCTAGAAGACAGTGGGCAGCAGAGAAGGGAGACTTGTATTAGTTAAGCAAATTCCTGAGACCTTGAAGAATGTCTGCTTCTCTTCTGAGCCTCCTCTGTCTTCTGGACAGTAATTCAGGAGCAATAAAACCCATCACCTTTGTGTTAAGGACCAACTGAGGCTGCACACTTTCTTGTTTGTTTATTTATTTATTCATTCATTCATTCATTCATTCATTTATTTATTTATTTATTTATTTATTTTGAGGCAGGGTCTCTTGTACCCCATGCTGGTCTATGTAATCAAGGATGACCTTGAACTTCTGGCCCTCCTGCCTCTACCCCCTAAAGGCTGGGGTTACAAGCATTTGCAACCATGACCAAGTTGCAAGGTACTAGGGATCAAACCCAGAGCTTCTTGCATGCTAAGTCAGCCCTTTCCCAGCTTAGGGACACCTCCAGCCAGCCTCAAGGCTGTGTATTAAAGCGGCAGCCATCCTCACACCTCAGCCACCTAAATCAGCTGTCAAGTACAGATTACAGCATTCACTCAGCCTGCAGACTCCCAGATTCAATGGGTCAGGGCGGGACTTGAGAATTTACATTTTGACAAAGTTCCCAGCCCAGCCCAGCTGACGCTGCCCACTGTGGAACCCAGCACCACTTTAAAGCATCCAGGCTCTTAGACTTACATGTGGTTTTAGGGAGGTCGCTTTAGCCTTTCTACTCATGTAACGGAACCGGAAAGCCAATGCTTTGGCTTCTGCTTGGTTTTTATCTGTTAGTCTTTGCAAAGATACTAGTAACAGTTTTTTCTGCCTTCCAGATACCGGCCTACTCCGCAAGAAAATAGAAACACATATTAGTCTTTCTTGCAGAAACAGTAATAACAAACCTAACATTTCTTAAAATGTAGTGTGTGTGTGTGTGTGTGTGTGTGTGTGTGTGTGTGTGTGTGTGATGGGGGCACATGCCAAGACCATCATGTGGAGCCAAAAGGACAGCTGTATGGAGTCAGCCCTCTCCTTCCACCTTTCTACGGGTTCCAGAATTTACCTTAGCTCATCAGACTTTTACAGCAAGCACCCTTGCCCACGGAGCCACCTCGTGGGCCCCAAACATTTATTGAAAACTTCCGTGAGTATAATCTGATTTGATTTTCACCAAAACCTCATCCTGTGCTTCAGAGAAGTTCTGTGCTTTAGTCAGATTCACATAGCCAGAGAAAAAGACAGAATCTGGACTCCAACTCTGGTTTTCTGCTCCAGTCCAAATACTGGTGTCTTCATTCTCTCCAAGGCTAGTACAGACGACTTTTTTTCTGTTACCATGCATCTCAGCCATTTTTAGTGAAGAAATTGATTCCTGACAGTTTGAAAGGTATGCAGTTTTATTACCCTGAATCCCAGGAGCAGGCCACAGACAGCAGGTGGAAACTTCTGTTGTTTTGTTTGAAAGCATTTGCCACCAGGGCATGTATGCTGAATTTCAACCAAGAAAGCATGCCTTGCTCTTCAACCGGGATGATCCTTGCCCTCTGGGACTGTGTAAGAGTTTGAATGTTTAAAAAAAATAAACATAGATGCACGTTCAATCAGTGATTGCTGAAAAGCGATTGGAAGTTGAATTCTATCGAGGGAAAGCAAGGAGAGCCAGCCAAGAATGGGAAATTCACAGGAGTGTTAGAAACAACAGCACTGGCTTCCTTGGCAGCAGGAAGGAGAGCCAAGGAGACACTTTCACTCTCTGCCATTAGGGAATTGTTGTCTTGCTGGGAGGAGCATTGTAGGGCTGACAGGCGGGAGGAGGGTGAAGAGCACAGCTGCTGGAAACAGACAAACTTGGCTTCGGATTGGCTTGTCTGTCCGTTGGTTGGTTGTGAGTGTGTGTGAGTGTGTGTGTGTGTGTGTGTGTGTGTGTGTGTGTGTGTGTGTGTGTGTGTGTGTGTATCCGCTTACTGGACAACCTCAAGCACATCACCAACCTCCCTGACAGCAGCCATCTCTCTGCGGCTCTCCTGATGACGTCACACGCCATCCAAAGGCCCTGCCTGCTGCCTTTATGGAAACTGAGAGAGACTGCGTCTTTCTCTCTGACCCCCGAGAGCAAGTATGTGGACAGGGTTGGACACTCACAGTGTTCTAGCTAGTTTTAACTGCCAACTTGACTCAAGTCATCGTTACCTGAGAAGTGATTCTCAATTGAAGGACTGGCCAGATCAGACTGGCCAGTGGGAATGTCTGTGGGGGACTGTTGGATTGTTACTTGTAGGAGGGCTCAGACCACTGTGGGTGGTACCATCCCCTATGCAGGTGCTCCTAGGCTGTATAAGAAAGTAGCCAAGCATGGGTCCAGGAGTGAGCCAGTGAGCAGTGCTTCTCCATGGATTCTTTCTTTTGTATTAGTTCTTTGAAAGTTTCATACATGTTTTGATCATATTCACTACCACCTCCAACTCTTCCCAGACCCACCCCCTTCATTACCTACCCAATTTTGTGTCAAAAAACAAAAACAACAACAACAACAACAAAAGCCCTTCAAGACCAATTTGTGCTGACCAAATATTCTTGGATAGTGGTCTTCTACCAGATTGCAGCTGATTTACCAGGGGCTACATTCTTAGACAAAATGACCCCTTCCTTTCCTGGCATCTTATAATTGCCAATTGCTCCACAGCCAGGGATGCCTAGGTCTGCCCTCCATGTGGGATTTGGTCTGGCTATGGCTTACACAGGTTTTGTGCATGCAATCAGAAGCACCATGTGTCCATATGTGCAGCTGCCCTGCTGTCCAGAAGACACCCTTTCCTTGTGATTGTCCTCCATGATCTCAGCTTCAATTCCTGCCGTCGCCTCCCTTGGTCATGGACTGTAACCTGTGAATTGAAACAAGCCCTTCCCTCCTTTATGTTGCTTTTGGCCAGAGTGTTTTATCACAGCAACAGAATGAAACCAGAACACACAGGTTTCCAGTTCCTAATCATATCTTATTTTGGATTGCCTGAACTAAGAACCAGAGAGATGCATTTTGGGAGTTCTGTTTGGAACTGGTTCCCTAGGATGAAGTAGGGAAACGAAGACATACAATGAGAAGCTATTGTGGGGATTTATTAAGGCAACTCCACATAGTTTAAAAGGAGGTTTATTTGGGGGTAACTTACAGCCGGTAAAGGGGTTGGTTACAGGATCTGGGAGACGTGGAGTGCAGTCCAGCGATGTTCTCTGGAGAACTGTACTCGGTCTACCATCCAGCATCCA